TACCCGGCTTTGTACTGCAGTCCTTGGTCTATGTCGCTCCTCCATCCCAGGCCTGTGCCCCTCCTTTCAGTGTCTCCAGAACCCAGCATGTCTGGAGCTGGGTCTAGGCTGTGCCAGCTGTGTAGGAGGGGCGGGGGGATGCCAAGTCAGCCACATTCTGGTCCCCTCCTCACAGAGTCATCATCGGGTAAGCACACGGGCAGGAGGCACAAGATCATGGTACAGACGGTCTCTCCTGGGGGACCATGGGAGGGCCCAGAGGGGTTCATACAGGAGTTCACAACTCCTCAGGGCAGGGTGGAGTCAGGAGATGGTTCGCTGTTCTAGAAGACGCCCTGGGTTGGGAGCTCAGAAATCTTCCTTTGGGATTGATCAAGGGTAGCAGGTGCCATGGGTGGGGGAGCTGATCTAAGGGGAGGGGCGCCCACACCAGGGACAGGCTGAGACGGGAGACTTGATGCAAAATCAAACTTTCCACCCTGGGGGGCGGCAGGCTGGGGGAAAGACAACAACCTCTCTCTGTACTGCCCAGACATCCTGCCTGCCCCTTTCTTACTGTCCCCAAGTGGGATGATTTCCCTGGCCTCAGCTGATATCCACCTTTAACTGCCAGACCCCAAGGGGACACAGGTGGGACAAGTGGTTTCCCCAACATCATCTTGCAACCTAAACTCGGCCTGAAATCCCCAGCCTTTCCGACTCCCAGGAAGCCCAGACTTCCTGCTTCTCTTCACCACCTCTGTTCCTAAGGCCTTTCCTGGTCTCCAGCTGCCCCATGCTTCTATTCCTCCACCAAATGAGGGGACTGGTCAGGGTCTGTCCACACAGTGCCCCAAGTCCCCAGGCCCAGCAGGGTGCTGCAGGGCCCTGGTTTTTAAAAAGTGCCACAGTAAACTTGGCACTGGGTGCAGGCTTATATGGTTGGGAGACCCTCTGGTTCCAGAAAGGGGGTTCATCAACACATGACTCTCCATACCAGACAGGGATCCATCTGTCCAGCCACCCGTCCTGCTGGCTGTTATTCATTCAACACACAGTATCAAGCACGTACAATGTGCCGGGCACTATTCTAAGTTCCAAAAACACTGCTGGGAAGAAGACAGAAAACACTGCTTCTCTCAACAGAACTTCAATTCTCATCGGGTGGGGGCATAGGCAGTATGCCAACAAAACATCAGACAGTGACACACGTGAGCTAAGTTCAAAGGGATACTGAGTGTGGACAGAAGGGTCCTCTAGACTGGGTGTCACTGAGAAGGTGACACTGAAACAGACGCACAGGGGCTGGCCATGGGAAGACAGGGAAGGGGACTCCAGGCCGAAGGAGCAACAGGCATGGAGGTCCTGGGACACACAGGAATCTCGCCCAAACACAGAAGCAGCAGGGCTTGGAGCAGACTGGCAGGAAGAAAAGGGATATGCAGAAAGGGGAGGGGCCGGTCAGGTCACCCTGCAAGGCCCACTCAGGTGAGAGTTGGGCCGATGCTAGTCTTGGTGGGGAGGGCTTTAACCCTGGGAAACTGGTCACCCAGGTCTCTGCCCCCCCGCAGAACTGCTTCTCTCTCCTCTTTTCCTTCCACCCCCTTCCTTAATTTCTAAGGATTTCTTGGACCATCCTGTTTGTCTTTTGTCCAGCCTCCAGATAACATAACTACCAAAAGCAGCTCAAACCTTTCATTCCCATCAAAACCAAATACAGTCAAGTTGAAAATGAAAAACACCTTTTGAAAAGAATATTTTAGGCAAACTTCTTCCAACTCTAAATTACACCTAAAATAGAAGAGGAGAAAAACAAAGAGCCCCTTCCTTGAGGACACACGGGTATTAAAGACATTGTAAACCTCTCAGTTCCTACTATCTGTAAAGATCCCTTCAGCCTGAGACTGGAGGTGAGGTGTGAGCCCAACCTCCCTGGCGGCAGAGCCCGTCTGCTCCCCTTGCCTGCAGCTGAGAACACATGGGGCTAAAGGGCTCTAGGGCAGCAACTAGGGTGGGGCTTGAAGTCCTGCCCTAAGGACCAAGGCAGAGAGCAGGCAGGGGGCAGGGAGGACCCCCAGGTGGGTGGGCAGAGCCAGAAGCCTTCAGGGGATGGGGATGGGAAGCCTCAGACAGGGAATTGGTTTTGTTTTGCTTTGTTTTTTGGAGGCAGGGTCTCGTTCTCCAGACTGCAGTGCAGTGGCATGATTGGCTCTCACAGCAGCCTCCAACTCCTGGCCTCAAGCGATCCTCCTGCCTCAGCCTGCCAAGTAGCTGGGACTACTGGTATGTGCCACCATACCTGGCTAATTTTTTTGCTATTTTTTATAGTGATTCCAGGAACTGTTAAAGACCATGGCCCTTCCTTTGAGCTTTTTCCCTCTCTTCTTTTTTTTTTTTTGAGTTGGAGTCTCACTCTGTCACCCAGACTGGAGTGCAGTGGCCGCTTCCGGCCACC